CACACACACACACACACACACACACACACACACACACACACACACACACACACACACACACACACACACACACAGGTTATGACTAAGAACCTTTACCTTCTAAATGCTCAGAACTGCATGAACCAAAGCTGCCAAGTGGGTATTGGTGACGATATTATTACTCATTGATCGGAGGCCATTGCTGTCCGGTAAACATTTTTATTTACTTGATTAAACCTTCAAAGAGATTTAAAAATAAAGAAATGAAAAAGATAAAACTGTTGGTAGCATGATTATTTTCTGCTCCTCTTCCAAAATACTAACCATGCTTCTTTTTTCCTTTGGTTGGAATGTGGAAATTTTGTTTTTTTTTTTAAACGCATTTCTATTTTTCATTAAATCATTTTAAATGAAAACAAGTACATATTGTGTCTTTGTCCTGTCATGGTTCAAAAGCAACTGGTAGTAGTTCCTTGTCTCTGTCATTTGGGGGAAAGGGAGTATCAGATTCACTATAGAGAGGTCTTTTGGGGGCTTTTATGTGGGGTCTTGTCCTTCTAATTAAGACTGCCCTGATCTCTCTGTTTATCAACCATAGAGGAAAGTGTAATAACTTAAGTTTCGCTCTATTTAAAATGAAACATTCATTAAAGAGGAGTTTGTTCTCATGCCTCTGTTGCTTTCATTACTGGCAAAGGCAGGTGGCTATTTCTAATCAGTGCGAGCCAGGGAGCACCAGTCATCGTCTGTCAAAATACCACGCGAGTTCAGGGAGTTAGTCCGGAGGCAAACGGATTCAAAACCCGGTGCCTTTGCAGTCTCCAGAGGCTAATTCCACAGCCCGTCTCGAGAAGGCTGCAGTTCCTTCCCCTGGAAAATGGGTGGGAGGGGACTAGGTGATCCCTAGGGCCCTGTCCCGGCAAGCTGTGGTGCTCCGCTACTCAAATCAAGGTGTACTCGGAAGGAGGCATTGTTGAGAGCCCAGCCAGGAGCACATTTTAACAAGCAAGGATTTGATTCCCGTGGTTTCCATCTGCGGAGGGTCTGGGCAAGAAAAAGAGGTTTCTGAGCTGACACTGAGACTTGGGGCCCAGGAGAGGCTGGTGTTTCGTGGTATGGGCTAGGATGCCACCCACTGCTGGCTCAGTGAACTATCGCTGAACCTACCTAGGGGATCATGAAGCAGCTCCTTTGGGTTCAATGAACTTCAGGTTCACTGGTTCAGTGGGACAAAGAGGAAATTAAATATCACAAGTTAGTAACAGCAGCTAACCATTCCTGTCAGCTTTTACTGGCACCTATCAAACTCTAACACTCTAATGGGCTTCAGATTTTACTTCTCTAGGCTCACTGTAGGTTTCCCAGGAGGTTGAGGGAAAGTCTGAAATTTACATTTGTAATAAATTTCCAGTAATGCAGATCAGGGATCATATTTTGAGAATCATTGTGAATTTCATTTAATTATCAGATTTCCGAGGCAAATATTGTTATGTCCAACTCACAAATGAACAGCAGCGCCTGCAGTCTTGAGGCTCACGATGGGGAATAAAGATTTAAATTCAGCTCTGATGCCAAATCTTATTCTTGTTCCACTCCAAGGTGTGTGTGTGTGTGTGTGCATGTGTGCAAGAAGCTGTGTGAAATTTATGTGAAATACATGAACAGAAGCATTTTTCTCTATCCAGCCACCCAGACTCACTCTTATACATGTACAGTATTTCTGACGCAGAAGAAAACGGTTGAAAATTTTGGCATCATTATAATTTTTAGATGATGTATATTCATCTTTCTATATCTGACTTATTTTACTTAACATCACATTCTCCAGTTCCATTCATGTTGCTGTAATAATGTAATTTTATTTTCAATGGCTGAATAATATTCATATATTATATATATATATATATATATATATATATATGTATACACATATCTATCTATCTATCTATATATCAGAATTCTGGTATCCGACATAATGATGTAACATTACAATATTGATTTTCACAAAGAAAAAGTGATCTCTCAACCTTACTATGTTGAAGCCATCTTCAGGAGTAGAAAGCGAAAATTCCCCTCACGTTTTATGCCCCAGAGGAAAGCTCTGTCATACTGATGTTCTTCTTCCAGGACGTTTTGCATAGAATATATCAGTATTTTATGTAATTGTTTATTAACATATAGTTATATAAACATATAGCACATTAGATTTCTATTTCATGCGGCATAACATAAACGGTATCACATTTATTT